AGACTTAATTGTTTTTGTACACACAGGATAGGGCGATGCCGATTAAGTGCCACCGCTTCGGCAAACCTCAACACTTTGGGGTTGTCGTTTCGATAGAGAACTGTAAATGTTGACCTAGGGTCAACCTGATGGCCTGATTCGAGTAGATGTCGGGCTATCGATGATGCCGGCAGCTTAGATACGTTTTCTCGTTCGGCTGCTGGTTGTGTCGATATTTTAGCAATCCGTTTTGGGATATGCTCTCCAATGCGCTTACCCAAGGATCGATCTGTTCTGCCAATGTAACTACTACCGCAGTTACAAACGAATTGGTAAATGCAATGGGTTGTGGCGGAGATCGGTTGAGTAGGCTTCACTGGAGGCAAAGGCAACTTCCTGGTCTCCCAAATGGGGCAGAATTTGGCGGTATTGAATGTCCGACGATGTCATGCTGTCGGTCGATTCGTTCGTGCGTTTTTGGTCCGTCCCTGACTAGGTATCTTTAGCTTTCACTAGATTGCGTGTCAAAAAAGTTTCCAAAGTGGTCTCACAAAAGGTTTAGTTCTGATTCAGGATTCACACCAAGAGTTTGCTCCTTCCTGCGGGAGTTCAATACATATTCCCATCCTCCTCTACTAGGCTTGCATGCACTATTGGAAGGATTTTTCCAGGATCCTCTACAGTTCCGTCGTCACGGCCTGTATGATGTGGTCCACGTCTTCAAAACGAGTCGCCTTGATGACTCCCTTGAATTTTGGGAAGAGGAAAAAATCTTACGGGACCAGACTTGCTAGAGAGAGTGCTCACCAGTGATGAGTCAAGGGTCTTCTAGTACGACCTGTAGGCCAAACGCCGGAGCGTTCATTAGAGGAGTCCAAAGTCGTCAAAGCCAAAGAAAGCATGACAGTCGGATTCCAAGATCAAAGTCATGTTGATGCGAGGAGGCCGTTCACTGTAAGCTCTGTCCAGAGGGCCAGACGACCCACCAACAAGTCTGCAAAGAGATACTGCAGCATTTGTTTCTTTAAGAGCGTGAGAAAAAGCGTGTTGTTGCAGGACAACACGAGTATGGTTCACCATGAGAAAATCCCCGTTCACAAAACCTTGAGCATGACAGTTCCTGATTGAAAACATAACCGTGTTGAAGCAACCTCTCTAATCATCTAATCTGACTCTGTGCGATTCAGATATCTTGCCCAAATTCAAGCTGACCAGCCATGAGGACGTGGATATCAAAAAGACCATCAAGACGACGTCAAGGAAGATCCTGGAAAAATCCTTACAGGAGTGGATGCAAGCCTGGCAGAGAAGAATGGGAAAATGCACTAGACTCGTGGTTTGAAATAATATTTCAACACCAGTCCTGCTATTTTTCCGACACCCATATATCAGCCGGCTATCAGGTTGTGCTATGTAGCCACTGGGACGTTAACATAAAGAAAAAAACTTCAGCAGTACGCAAGCGCACCATACTGCAGCTTCGTTGCCCCGCGGCAACCAACAATCGCGCAAGGACCACGAAGTACGCCGCACCTAAGTAGATTTGAACTAATGACCCTCGGAGTACCAAGCACGCGCGTAACCCTTTCGACACTGTTCGACATACCTTATTATGGCATCTGAGAGTCTACTGCGAAACACAAAGCAATGAACAAGACACAGTCAATGATATTAACATCTTCGATGGACAATGGCCACAAAGTCTCTGATCTATTCTGTAAAAGAAGTCTGCCATCGCGCTGACCTCATCGAGAGGCGAGATTCTATCAGACGATCATGATTGGCAGTTCGCATCTGAGCTCAGCGCTATGTATACTCAACGTGGTGGACGAACTCAGCACAACACACAATCCCCCAATCAAAACCATGTGAGTTTAGAATATAAACCAGTGTAATCAAGCAAAGTAGGTAAAATGGACTGGGACAACACTGAGCGTGTATTTCGATTCATTCATCATCATCATCATTACACGTTAGCTGGAGGTGGAAAACACCTCAGCTATTGTGCCGCAATACAAAATAAAAGAAAAGGAAAACAGTGGCAAGCCCGCTGAGTCCCCAGTAACGGATGGACATCGTTCCGGAGAGCTAACAGCTGGCTGTCGTAAAAAGAGAATCATATTATGCCTAACAGGTGAGATCGTGATTGGAGGGGGATACTAAACAGGAGGGGGATGGACAAAGGAAATCACAACACAAACGCCATTGGTGCCGGCTCCGAGCCATATCAGCAAGTGTGTCCAACCAAACGTGTTCACCGTCCTTAGGACCCCAGCCAGGCAGTCGGGATGCACCAACCGACGCCAACTTCGAAGTGAGGGTTTTCATTCCTCTCGACCAAGTCATCACTTGGCCTCCCCTCCTCTTCTTCCAACCGCACCCGCAATGCGCAAACAATGCACGTCGCGGGAGTCGGTGTGCTGGCATGCGCAACACGTGACCCAGCCATCGGAGCCTGGTGCGTGATATAATGGTGCTGAGCGGTTCACTCGCTCTTCCTGCACCAAATACGCGACGTCGAACACGATCATTGCTCACGCGGTGTTCCCACCAGACATGAGCTAAGCTGCGAAGGCAGCGATGATCGAATGTGACTAGCCTCTTTAAGTCTGTCGACCTGATGGGCCAGGTTTCACAACCATATAAGAGAGTAGAACGGACGGCTGCGTTGTAAACTCTGCCTTTCAGGGCGAGAGTAATGTCGCGTCTGCGCCACAGGTGGCGGAGATTGGCAAAAGCACCTCGAGCTTTTGCTATGCGGTTCGTAACCTCATCTTCAATCCCACGGGTGCTAATATAGCTACCCAGGTACTTGAATTCCTGAACGACTTCTAGCAGATCACCACCAAGCGTTAGCGCAGGGTTGGGTCCCTGCCAATCTTGGAGAAGTACTTTGCATTTCGATGGAGCAAAGCATAGCCCAAAACGACTGACAGCCAGTGCTAATCGGTCCAGTGCTCTTTGGCATGTTTGGAGGCTGTCACAGATTAGGGCAATATCGTCCGCATACTCCAAGTCAAAAAGTCGCTCACCAGGAAGTAGCTCCACACCATCTAGGTCGTGTCCAGCGAACGCTGTTTCTATGACTTCATCAATAGCGAAATTGAAGAGGAAAGGTGACAGCGGGCATCCTTGTCTCACGCCGCTGGTGATACTGAAGGGTGGCGAGAGTTTGCCATAAACCCTCACCCTGCCCGAACTATGCGCGTACAGCGCTTTGATAATGTTTACATATTTATCAGGCACACCTTTCCTCAGCAGACAGTCCCAAAGGGCACATCGATCGACCGAATCGAAGGCACCTTTTATGTCAAGAAACACGACAACGGTGGGTCGACAATAAACATGGCGGTGCTCCAACACTTGACGCAATGTGAAGATGTGGTCGATGCAGCCCCGACCTCGACGAAATCCGGCTTGCTCTTCACGAATCTGGCTTTCACGAGTGCCAGTCAGTCTGTGGAGAATGACAGAGGCAAGCAATTTAGAGGCAATCGAAATCAGACTGATCCCTCTATGATTGCCGCATTCCAAACGAGAGCCTCCCTTGAAAATTGGGACAATGACGGAGCGGTTCCAGTCTGTCGGGACTGTCTCCTGCTCCCAAAGTCTTACTAGCAACTCGTGTAGATCATCTACTAGAGCAGGTCCCCCGAATTTGAAGAGGGCTGGGGGAATTCTATCTGCTCCTGAGGCTTTATGCAATTTCAATAGCCGGATCTCACGTTCGACCTCTGCGCATGAGGGCGGATCCGAGGAGACGGCCCAAGGAGAAGGGCGCTCAATGCCCGAAGAAGAAAGCGATAACGCAGGTTTGTTAAATTGCCTTGCAAAGTGTTCGGCCCAACGCACCAAGCGTTTTGACTAGCTGTGGATTGGCTGTCCACCATCGTCGCGTATGGTCTCGCTAACCCCATGTCTCTTGCTGCCTGTTTCCCGTATCAGACGGAATAACTTACGATGATTACCCACGGCAGCGGCTGTTTCCATCTCAGAGGCACGATGAGACCACCAGGTTTCGCGGTCCTTCCTAAGGCTAGCACTTAGTTTTGCCCTGAGATTTTTGCGAGCCTCATTGTATTCGCTTCCAGCCGGAATACGTCGGCGAGCATCCATAAGTTCCATAGACTGTGTAGAGACCCAATGTCCGGTTTGGTAATTTGCTTTGCCACATGAAGACATGCCTGCGGACAGTAACGTTTGACGAATATGCGACCAGTGATCTTCAACGGTGTTTAGTGGGCGCTTACTCAGCCCAGATGTCAGCGCACTATGGTATATATTCAGAACATCTGGCTTCGCCAGCTGGCTGGTGTCAATCCGTTCACCTCGACGTTGCGGACGTCCACCGAAACGCACCAGGAGGTCGGCACAGACAAGTGCGTGGTCAGAGTCCAAGCTCGTGCTCCAATTTGAGCGACAATTTCGGACACATCCCCTCCAGCGGTAACTGATCGCGATATGATCGATTTGTGTCCATGGTTGGCCCGCGGCTGATGGCCGCCAAGTCACGCTTCTGCGGGTGCTGTGTCGGAAGTTAGTGCTCGCGAGAAAGAGGCGAGTATCTTCACACAGATGTAGCAATCGCTCACCATTATCATTACGCGAGCCAACACCACGTTGGCCGCCCAGATGAAGCTCATCAGAGGACAACTTTCCGACTTGGGCGTTTAGATCACCAGCCAACACCACAGTATCCGATTCATTGATGGAGCAGAAAGACATTTTTCCCCTAACGGATTAGCTAAAGGCCTCACACCAAGCGATTAGTCGACGGATATAGAGTGTCACTAACGTGCTCCATCAACACTTTCGCTTTGAGCTCCTAGACAGCCTTACAGCCCCAACCGTGTAATAAAGAGGCCGATGGCAAAGTAAGGTAATGACTGCTAAATATTACCAGTACAAAGACTAATTTTAAATTGTGCATAAGAAAAATGGAAAACAAGGCTCATCGAAGCAGGAACATGATAAAAAATAGCAAGGGATCACTAACACACAGTGCAGGGGCTACTACTTACTGTCATACTGTGCATATTGCGACGCTTGGATGGAGGAACTGTGACGCTGAGGTATGCAGGAGTGGCGGCTCCGGCTAACCTGTAGCTCTCGTCACCAGAGAGGCGACGTTTGTGGTGTGCTGGAGTGTTTCCCATCAGAAGAAAGCTGAAACGAAAGACAAGTGTACCGATCAAATTCTTGACAACGTGATCATCCCACCGGAGTGGGAAACTGCGGAGCAACACGGATAATGTGGCCATATGCATTATGATTTGCATTGCAAATGGATCACGAAGCAAGTACTGGCTCAGGCCCTAGAGAAGGAAGCGATCCGGCCAGCAGCAGTAACCGAAACCAGCTGAGGCACCAGCTTGTGTGCAATGAGGACTGATATTGAAGTCAAATAATAAACTATATGTTTGTAAAGTCCCTATTTGTAATCCCGTACAAGCCGTCACAAACGATTAAAATGCAAGGATGCACAACAAATCGATGTAGGAAAAGGTGTGGAAAAACATGAAGGATAAGTGCCGTGTGGATCTACAAGTCAGTGTGCTTTTTACGTGTGGGAATAGAATCTCAAATCGATGATAAAAGAGAATTTAAAATGTGTTTGCTTCGTTAACGTGATAGGTACAAAATACGTCGCTGTGCTCAATGGCAGATGATGGAAGAGCGGCGAAAACCATCGTCATTCGTGTGCACAACGATCAAAATGATCACAATGGAAAAGAGCTGAGTAAATAGCGAAAGTACAAAATGGAGTTGCCAATATCGCAGAGGGAGAAAGGAAGCAACACAGCAAACTTTGCACAACAAAAGGAGTCAGAGTGCTCTGAATGACGGACGTTTACCTCAAGGTAAAACGCGGCACAAATTGGGGATGAGTGTGGCATTCCAAACGTATCGGGGTATCTCATAGGCGAAAATAAATGAAGTAATTTAAGTAACCAACTGTAGTGAAAGCCGAACCAGGTCTAAAAGGACCGGCGCAAGAAACGGAACAGCATCTGGACCCCGCTGAAGATAGAAGTAACCAGCCAGGATATAAGTGTGGTACAAAACTGTGTGCACCTCTGATTCATGGTGGCATGATAAGCGGTGATTTCGGAAACGCTTAGAGTAAGCGCCATCAGTAAGGCGATGATTGAAAACCAGGCGATCGCGCTCTCACTCTCCATATATATATATATATATATATATATATATATATATATATATATATATATATATATATATATATATAGGAGGTGCCTGCTGAGCTGAAGGATGCCCTTGTGCTACCACTGTACAAGGGCAAAGGAAGCAAGCAATGTTACACGAAATGTCGTGGCATCAACTTGATGAGTTGTGTGGGCAAGGTGATTACCCGAATCCTGCTCAACCGCCTCTTCAGTCAGGTTGTGGAACCAAAAGTGGCGGAAGAGCAATGCGGATTCCGTTCGGGTCGCAGCACTATAGATATGGTGTTTGCGGCTCGTCAGTTGTAGAAGTTCATAGAACGACACCAGCCATTGTACTCGCCTTTTGTTGGTTTCACCAAAGCATTTGATACGGTGAACCGCGAGGCATTGTGGTTGGTTTTGGGTAAGTTTGGTCGCCCGCGTAAGTTTGTATGTTTAACTGCATGTCTGTAAAGTGGTACGCGGGCGAGGGTGCAGCTGAGTGGATAGAACTCAGATGACTTTGCAGTTGTCTCTGGTGTGAAGCAAGGCTGTGTCTTAGCTCCTGCCCTGTTTAGTATTTATCTTCATGCAATGATGTCTTGTGCCTTTGATGACGCTTGTGCTGACGGTGTTCGTGTGGAGCACCGTATTGATGGTGTGTTGCTGAAGATCCGTCCTTTCAATGCGAGAAGTTTAGTCTGTGAGACAACTGTCCGTATGTTGCCGTTTGCTGAGGACTGTGCGTTATTCGCACACAGCGCAGACGAGTTGTAGCACATGACTAGTGCTCTGGCTTCAACAGCAGCCAAATTCGGGCTCACCATGAACACAAGCAAAACCGTATGTCTCTTTCACCCTTCACCGGAGGTGCAATCTTCAAGATTGTAGAAAATTAGCATTAGTGCTGAAGTATTGGGAACCACCTCCAGCTTCTGCTACCTTGGGAGTGTGATGTCGACTGACCAACAGCTATTCGGTGAGCTGCGTATCCGCGTGTCGAAGGTAGCAAGAGAATTTGGGAAGCTAGAGTACAGAGTGTGGAATAACCATCAGCTTACTATTGGCACAAAGCTGATGGTGTACAAATCCATGGTGCTGTCCGCTCTTCTCTACGGCAGTGACATGTAGACGATGTACCGGCGGGATGTGCGATATCTCGAGCGGTTCCATCAACAGTGTTTGCGACGGAATTGTGTGCATCGGATGAGGAGTTATAGTTGCGGACAGTGAAGTCCTGCGCCGAAGTGGAATGTATGCAGTGGACTGCATACTTTTGCTGAGACACCTGAGGTGGCTCGGTCATGTGAGCCGTATGGATTCGACGCGGATACCGAAACAACTATTATATGGTCAGCTGAGTATTGGAAGCGGCATGTGGGGAAACCAAAGTTACGTTACCAGGACATGATCAAAGTGAGCCTCTCACGTTCTAATCTTGATTGCAGGTCATGGGAATCGAAGGCGGTTGATCGGCGTGCATGGCGCGATCTGATCACGAAGGCAGTTGCCGAAGTGCGGGAGAAAGACCTCATGCATGCAGAGAAGAAGCGGCAAGTGCGGAAGCGGCAAGCACCGATGGGTTGTACTCCATCGACATCGAGCGCATGGTGCTGTAGCACATGCGGTCGCGAGTGCCTGAGTCAGGCAGGCCTAGTGAGCCATGAGCGAGGCCACTCCGGGCCAGCACAGAAGCGACGACGGGTCCTGCAGAGAACGTAGGCAGAACCGGCGCAGCGTTTGTAGGTACGCTGCATTTGGTATACTAACCGCTTGCTTGCATGCTGTCTTGTTATTTCAGTTAGTGTGTTTGCAATTTTGTCCTAATGCTTATCCTTATCATATCAATATGTACCTGTACTATCTTCATAATATTTGAACACGTCACTGAAGCTAACTGTAGTTAATTTCGATAAGATTTTCGCGTTGGTGGCATTTTCTTCAAATATATCTTCTGACCTCTTTAACTTATTGCGGATCCGTTCATAAACAAACTATTTTATACGCCCATTTAGTGAAGAGTTATGCCACCGTATCTGTATGCATTATTGGATTTATTTTATTTCAGCTTGTCGTTGCAAGTGATTGGCTGTTGCTAGATATCCCCGGTGTGGATGGGCTTGATGTGCTTATTGACAAGGTGCCCACCTGTATATTATCCACTAACTCGTCCATACTGGCTACAGGAGCCAGTTAGTGGTTTCTAGAGGGGACGGAGTGCACGGTCCTCGTGGCCGTGCTAGGCTTGAAGACAGGTTCCATGCACTCAGTGTGGAGCGGAGTATGACCCAGCCACCGCCTTGCGTGCGATTTATCCTCAACTAGAGCGTGCGTGTATTTCCCTGTGAAGGAGTGTGGACCGATGCCAAATTTTGGACACAATGCCTCGCGGTTCACCGTATCAAATGCCTTGGTGAAATCAACAAACCGCGGTTACTACGGCTGGTGTCGTTCTCTGCACTTCTCCTGCAACTGACGAGCCGCAAACACCATAAAGACAGTGCTGTGACCCGAACGGAATCCACACTGCTCTTCCGTCACGTTAGGTTCCACAACCTGACTGACGAAGCGGTTGAGCAGGGTTCGGGCAATAACCTTACCCACACAACTCAGCAAGTTGATGCCACGATATTTCGTGTAACATTGCTTGCTTCCTTTGCCCTTGTACAGTGGTAGCAAAGGGCATCCTTCAGCTCAGCAGGCACCTCCTCCTCAATCCATACGCGTTGCACCACGTGGTGTAGCGCAGTCACCAACGCGGGTCCACCGTGTTTCAATACTTCAGGTGGGATCCCGTCACCTCCGGCACATTTGCCGTTTCGCAGCTGAGCAAGTGTTCTCTACGTCCCACCCACTGTCGGCGTGTCCACCAGACTCGCCTTTACATCGTGCTGTTTGAGGCCGGTCAAAGTAGGCAAGTCGATCTCTGAACGGTTATTCAAGAGGCAGCCGAAGTGTTTTTTCCAGACCTGCATTATGTCTGCAGTGTGTGCAGATAGCGCGTGAACTAGCATCGATCAGCGTCCTCATCGGCTCCATGGCTAGGTTTTATGGGAAGAGGGACATCGACCACTTCCTAACCTCCGAAGTATATTTATATATGTTCGCAGGCGTCAACGAATAGACATAGAACCAACAGAAACCATCGGACTCCAAAGAAGGTACAGAAATAGTAAAAGAAAACATAACACAACACATCGGAGTCCATGGTTTCGTCAGAGGGCGAAATACCTCCGAAGAGGATGGACTAAAATACTGGCAGGGGAACGATTCGGGTCCTCAGCCAAAGCCTTCGTTTACATTTACACCCGAAAGGCAACAGGTCTAGCACATGGTCAGTTCACCGACTCACCGACTGGTGGCCGAGTGGTCTACACGTTTGCCTTGCAACCATAAGGTCACCGGTTCGAATCCGCGTAGGGGTGGGCGTCCTCGCGGTATACTCAGCCCGCGCGCGACTGGTGGTGGTCGCGCGGCAGCGTAGCGCCGTTACGGCGTACAGCTGACACATTATTATTATTATTATTATTATTATTATTATTATTATTATTATTATTGGTGTCTTGGATCATAGCAGGCAGAAGGGCGTAACCCAACACCCACGCAGCGGTCGCCACGAGGAGGGGACGAGCACGTCAGTCCATGGTACAAGTAGCAACAGTGGGTAGACCATCTAAAAGGATCTAGCGACCACCAGCCTCAGCGCACCATAGACCATCCCGCCTATATATATATATATATATATATATATATATATATATATATGCGCTGCGCGCACTTTTGAAAGCAATGGCAGTAACCCGACCTTTGAAAAACCAAAATATGGGCACCACATTTGAACTTCATCCCAAGCCGTTCGCCGCGTATGTTGATGGCCGTTGCATTAGTTAAGTCATTTTGCAGAGATGGTAGGCAAAAACAAACAGTCTTCCTAATTGGGAATTTTCCTCCTATTTCGCCCTTCCCTTCCGCTTTATTGATAACCATGCAATTATTGCAGGT